AGAGCAGAAAACCGGCGGGTCTGAGACAAGCGCTAATAACGCTACCGCTTCCCGTGAACGGGGAGAAGGCGGCGGGAAGGACGGCGAAACCCCATCTCTCTCCCTTCACCAGCACAGTTACAGGCAGAAAAAAAGTTACAGGCAGGGTAAAATTAAAGCTTTTCATTTATCGGCCCGGCTCCCAGCTTTCGCTTCAGCCGGGGGAAAAAAACACTTCCAGAGCTCGAGGTGCAAGAACCAGCTTAATTGTCAGATTCCAGGCACGGAGCCCAGGGCAGGAGGGGGAACTCCACGGTGGCATTTGCTATCCTAGTTCCCCTGCCTAAGTCACCCCACCCGAGTCCCCGACGGAGGCGGAAAGAGGCGACCGGGCCATCCCCCGGGCGCACCCCCCGTGCTGCCCCAGCCTGCCGGGGGAGCGGGGCTGGGGGTGCCAAAGCCGAAACAACTCCGGAGAGGTTTTATTCTGGACTTTGCATAAATTGTCCTGAAGTACAGGAAAGGCACTTCGGTGCTGTCTGACTGCTGCATTCGCGTGCTGTGCCCTGGCACCAGCTTGCCCGGCTTCATCCGCGCTCTCCAGCCGGTCTGAACCGGGAGGGAAGGGGCCCGATGATCTCCTAAGTGCCCGGCGGGAGGAGCTGGGATCCGACAGCGGTGGGCAGGAGACCCGAAGGCCCGGTACCTGCCCCGCTGCCGGGGAGCGAGGCTGTCGAGGAGCTCCCATCCGGCTCGCAGCGCAGCGGACCCAAGAACCGGGCAGAGGGGAGGCCTCTCGTCAGGGCCGGCTTCACGTCAAGGTCAAAACTCTTTTTTTGACGACCAGAAAAGGCGAGACTCGTTAGGGCTTGAAAGGATCGGGGGGTAAGAAAATAATAAAAATTAAAAAAAAAGAATAGAAAAAAAGTAGCAAGGAAAGGAGAATGTTTTTAGATGGAGCGCCTGGACAGCTCCAAAATCTTTTTCCTCTGCGGAATTCCAGAGAGGTGAAAGCAAAACCTGCCCTGGCCCCACTCGTCCCCCGCAGCCCTCAGGCGCCTTCGGCGACCGCCGGTGGGACCCCGCCACGGCGGACACGCACATCAGCACAGAGATCCCTCCGGCAGGATTTATTCAACCCAGGCTCGCCGGTTTGCACCATCCCTTCCCAAGCGTTTGAAAGGAATAAGTGACCAAAAGACCGTGGGGAACCCTTGAGGACCCGCAGAGGCCCCGGGGTCCCAGCGGCTCCCGCCGCTACGATGAGAACAGCGAGATTGGCACAACTTCTCGCAAGGATACCCTAATAGGCTATTTCTGGACTACTGGCTCTTAACAAATCTATAGCACCTGAAGTGTTAGCACTCAATTAGTGACAAGGTTTCAAACTCCGGCGTTTACTGGCGAGGTATAAACAGAGTCCTCGGGAGATAGCTGGGAATTAGAGCGGGAGGGGGCCCTGGACATCTTAACCGACTGGGATTAAGAGGAAAAGTTTTTTAAAAGGTCCCATCTCTCTCTAAACAGTCCGAGGTGTCGAAAGCTCAGGGGTAGAGAGGATGTGCTCTCTGGAGTTAATTGCGGGGTTGGAATTTTTTTGGTTTTGTTTGTTTGTTTTCAGCAAGAAAAGTTTTAAATTTTTGTGGTGTCTTTTTTTTTTTTTTAGGAAAAAAGAAAACGCACACAAAACACAACAAACCCAACATGCACTTAGCAATCCCAGAGAGAAGCCATGAGCGGGTTTGGACGACAACCCTCGACTGCAAGGGGCTTTTCTGGGTATGGGGGGCCAGGGCAGGCTCAGTCCTGAGGGGGCAGCGAGAGCAACCTGCAAACAACGTGAAGGCGACCGGGGGAGAACAGAACACCCCCGTTTTTCCCCGCCAGCCAGAAAAACAGCAACATCTTTGCTCGCCCCGTCTCCCCTCCATACACCCACAGGGCCTGGGTCCCGGCTGGAGGAGTGGGCTGGAGAAGGTGTTTCAGGGCTCTGCTCCGGGGTCCTGCCTCCCTTTACTCTTTTTTGTGTATTAATTAAACGCAGCCAAAAGCGACTCCGCAGAAGGCAAAACCGGTGCGGGACAGCTAGAGGTGCGGGGGGTCCCTCCCCTTCGCCCCTGCCCCGCGACTCAGCCGGGGCACCCGAGAAGGTCCCCCCGGGCCGGGCCGGGCGGGGACCGAGCGCGGCGCCTGAGGGCTGCGAGCAGAGTCCGGAGCGGGGTGAACCGGTCGCCTTTGTCCACATCGCTGGACAGTCGGAGCCTGGCTTCAGCGGGCTGCTGGAGAGCACCGGGAAAGGGAGAAAGAGGGGGTGGGAAAGGGGGGAGGAATGGGTGCGGAGCCCCGACCCGGAAAGTCCGTGAGCTGCTGTATGTCAGTAACTTATTCATCAATCAGCCGGACACAGAGCAGACCTGGCCTCTCTTTGCGGAGTGTTTGCTTTTTCACCAATTATTGCGGCCCTGCAGCTCTTTTTGTTGATACAGTAGTTCTAAAAAGTGCTAATGTTCATTTATCAGGGGGCCGAGCCCGGGACTCCCACTAGTTGTGATTCTTCCAAAAATATAAACACGAAGAGAAGGGCTAGGGCTAAAGCCCCCATTTGTTTCTAAACCGCAGTATTAAAAGTGATGCATTGTTGAAGATAAAGCGGAGATAACGCTGTCTGTCTCCAATGAATGTCTCCCCGACGCATTAATGACATTCCAAATGATAGCTCCGGCTTATCGTTCAATTAATCACTTCCACCCTCTGCAGCCGGGCCCACATCGATCGGGAGCCGCCGTGTGACTGGGGGGCTGGAGGGAGCCCGTCAATCCTCAGTGAATCGCGGACTGTCGGCCGGCAGTGCCCGCCCCGCGGACACGGAGCCCGCGGCGGGGCCGCCCCGCCGGGACGCGCCCCGGGCCCGGAGGGGGCCAGGTCGGACAGAGGGAAACCGCCGGGGCAGGCACTGCCGTGCGAGCTCCCGGCCTGACCTGGGAAGGGCGTTTTGGGTCCGGGATGGAGGAAGGGAGCGCTGGACGCCGTTTCTGCCGGGAGGTGGATGTCACCAAGGCGGACGAACCTGCGGCCGCGGCTCTGGGTTTGGGAGGGATCGGGATCACTTCGCTATTTTAGTATTTATCTAACTTATCCCCATTAGCTTGCATTAAAAAGGAGGCAACGAGATTAGAAAACCTGCCGGGCAAAGCCGAGGGTAAGGGGTGCCCCGGACAGCCGGCAAAGTCCCGCCGCAGGCCCCTCTCCTGAGCCGGGCTGCTGAGGCTGCCTCTGCCTTCCCCAGGCGCTTCACCCCTTTTCCTGCAACCGAGAAACATCCCCTCCGAGTTGTTTCCCAGGGAATTCTGCAGGAAGCGCAGCCGCGAAGAGCGAGATGGCCGCTTAGCCACCTCCTCCCCTCATTAAATGGCAATATTTCAGGCCTCCCCGTTCACAGTGATCGCACTGTCATCGCAAGATCCGGATCTGGTTCGCCAAAAAACTGCTCCCAGGACACCCGCAGGCATCTGTAGCGAGGGGCTGCAAGCGCCGGGGTTGCTGCTGCTGCTCCGGACAGCGATCCCCAAAGAGAGGGGCAGGTCACAGCATCGCCCCCAAAAACACCCTGAATTAAATTCCCCAAAAGCGAGACCGAAGGTGCCGAGACACAAAAATCTCGGGGGGTAGCTGGGGGTGTCACACCAGCAGGTCCGTTCAGGAGCAGCCCGGGAAGGGCAGCTTCGGGCAGGTGCTCACATTTCCACCCGCCTCGGAGCGTCCCTTCCTGCGGGCGGAGGAAGGATTTGAACAACTGCGACTCCGCCGCCTCCCAGGGCAGGGCCCGGCCGAGGGACCCCTAAACTCACCGCATCCCTGCAGGGTTTCTCCGCTCGGCTCCCACCGCCCGGGCCGAGCCCATCCCGTGTCTCTCTCAGTCGGGCGCTGGAGCGCTAAAGGAGGTCCTTTAAAATTTATTTTCTTTCTCGTCCCCCGAGCCCAGAAAGCACCGTAAGGCCCCCCCTCAACCTTCGGCTTTGCCGCTAGGGTTTATTTCAGCCACTCCATGCAAATTAAACGGGTGAGAGCACCCACCTCAGCCTCTTGAACCCGGGACCCGTGGGCAGCCGTGCCCACCGAGCTGCGGGGACCCGGCTAGCACCAGGGCCAGCCCTGGCTCCCGACGGCAGCCCAGCGGCCGGTTGCTTTGGTTTACTCATCTCTTACCCCTCTATATTTTGCAATACCTTCAACCCGCGCTTGTTTTGGTTTTTGGGGGTTTTTTGTTTGTTTGTTTGTTTTAAAGCTTTACAAACAGACGGGAGGAGAACCCGATCGGCATTTCCCTCTCCCAAGCCAGGCAGGGGCTGTTCAGGACCTCTTTCCTATCAGCTGGATTTTGCGAGCGTTGTGTTGCTTCAGAATATCTGTATAAACCCTAAGCGCGGATTTCCCCTTGAGCGCGCTTCACACAGCAGTGAACTCCTGCTCTCTAGTTCCTGCGATCGGATATTGCAGAACACTAAAAACGAAACCTCGGTTCCATCACTTAGAAAAAAAATATGAAATCAGCACATATTTGGTTGATGGCTTCCTCCCGGCCTGTTTATTTAATCTGACTGTATGATAGATAGCATCAGATAGTGCCTTTGTACACATTAGGCCGTTCTGCTTTTCTTTTTTTAATGGATGAAAAAACTCAGCGCAGAAAAGCTGGATAAATGCAGTGCCGCCCCTTTAAATGAGCGGAGATGTTTTTGAGATGTATTACTATATTAGGTGACATGGAACTTTGCATCTCTCATACCATCACTGCAATGTTGGCCAATAGAAAGCTAAAGTCACCCAAAAACTGCCTAGTCCCTCCTTCCCTTCCCTTATGGTCTGGTCCTACCTGCCTCCAGTGCACAAGTCAAGGCTACTCTCAGGAATGCTATGTGCCCCCTCCGTGAGCCCACGCTCCACCACTGCTCCAGGTTGGCTGCTCCTCAACTACTTTTCCATGACCCTGGGCTCAGGCTGCTGCCCCGCTCTCCTCCGCAATGTTTCCTAGCCCTGTGACAACGACACCCTTCTCGGTCAAGGATATTTTGAACCTGGAACAGCATCAGAGCGGCCTGGCCTCCATGGAGCTCTCCTCGCTGGCCTCGCCCTCCTGCATGCTGGCCACCTTCAAGCAGGAGACCTACAGCGCTGAGCCGCCGGCCCTGCCCGATCTGCGGGAGGAGCTGCCCGAGCCGCCCCCCACCAAAACAGCCGCCGCCTTCCCCGGCTCCTACTACGTGAAAAACTACGTGGAGATGGACTCGGCCAAGGAGGGAAAGGCGGACAAGAAAGGTAAAGCCAAGTGCTGCTGTCCGGGGCTCGCCCGTGGTCCTTGGGAGGAGAAAAAGGGAACGCAGGGGAACAGTGACCCCTCCAGCCGGGGTTGGGGGCTCGGCCGGGTGTCCCCAGGGCTGCGGGGGAAGAGGGGACAGTGCAGGGCTGCGCCCACCCTCGGGGGCCGGGGGAGAAAGAGCGCGGAGAGTGGGAGCATCTTCATCCCCTCCCGGGCGCTGCAGTGCAGGAGCGGGACAGACCCACCGCGGGGAGCGTCCCGGTGACCCCGGGCCGGAGACACCCCCCCCAGCGGGGCCGGGGCCGAGCTCCCACCCAACGGGAGAGGCAGAGCTGCAGGAGGATACGCGAGGTCTCGAGTTTGTACAGAAATTAGGTGACAAATCGGATTTCTAATTCGTTCGGCTGAGTGTACTGGAGCCCGTGGGTCGGGCTGGGATTCGGTACAAAGGCTACGTAATAAATACAAAGGCTACGTGATAAATCCAGGCTGGGGCACAGGCGGTCGCGACCCAAGTCAGTGCACTGAGCATTCTTGCTTTCAAACAAACAAAAAAGATGGAAACTTTGCCGAAGAGGTACTTAAAAAGCGGGGCAGGGCCGGTCCCACTGCAGCAAGAGCGGGTCACCGCTGCGGCCTGCGGGGCTGAGACACACGGAGCCGGGGAAGGGCCGGGGAAGAGCCAGGGCTCGCTCACGTTGCACGCTGTTTACTGAACATTGCTTTATATTTTTTGCACATTTTTTCCTCCCCCTTTTTCCTTCTCCCGTTTATTTTGCTGCAGAGCTGTGTTCCCTGCACAAGAGCCTGGAGCAGGAGAAAAGAGACCTGGAAGATCCCGAGCGCCCCAGACAGAGGAAAAGGAGGAAACCTCGCGTCCTCTTTTCTCAAGCCCAAGTCTATGAACTGGAAAGAAGGTTCAAGCAGCAGAAATACCTCTCGGCCCCCGAGAGAGACCATTTAGCGAACGTCCTAAAGCTCACCTCCACCCAAGTGAAAATTTGGTTCCAGAATCGAAGGTATAAATGCAAAAGGCAGAGACAGGATCAGACCCTGGAAATGGTGGGGATCCCTCCCCCCCGGCGGATAGCGGTGCCGGTGCTGGTGCGAGATGGGAAGCCCTGTCTGGGGGAATCTTCTCCCTACAGTTCGCCCTACAATGTCAGCATTAACCCCTACAGTTACAACGCCTACCCTGCGTACACCAACTACAACAGCCCCGCCTGCAACGCCAACTACAACTGCAACTACCCCTCCATGCAGCCCATGCAGCCCTCAGCGGCCGGCAACAACTTCATGAACTTCAGCGTAGGGGACTTGAATTCGGTGCAGACGCCGATCCCGCAGGGGAACGCGGGGATCTCCACACTGCACGGGATCCGAGCCTGGTAGAGCCGCCCCCGCCCCCGGCCCGCTCCCTCCAAGGACCACGGCCATAGGGATGGAGGGGCTCCGGCCGCGCCTGCGAGCCGGGCTCGGGACATTTCCAGGCTGCGGGATGAGGACGGTTCAGTGTAGCATCCCGGCGGAGTTCACTGGAGTGGTGGCCATTTACGGGGGGGTCTTTGGTATTTCGTGCGGTGGCCGCGCTCCGTGCGGGGCCAGGCGGGCACCGGTGGGGAGGACCGGCAGTACCCGCAGCGCCCGACCCCTCTCGCTCCCCGTTCCACCTGGGTCTTCACCCTGGTAATTCCCCTCCTTCTTTCCTACAAACCAGCCGGTCATTTTGCTGGACTTGTTCCCAACGACAGCTAGCCAAGCCCAGCAACTCTCTCTCTTCTTCTTCTTCTTTTTTTTTTTTTTTTTAAACTTTTACTCTATACTAATTATTATTGACATCCACATTTAATTTTTGCACTTCTCGTACGGTTCCCGCTGTTCGTCCAGTTCAGCATCTCGCCGCCCCCAGGTCTCCCTTTGCGAGGCTGCTACCGCCGGCCTGGGCTGCGGACCGGGAGCGGCTCCCGCCCGCACACGATGAGGACAAACGCCCCCCCACACTCCGGCCGAGGGACACGGACACTCCGGCCCGCCAGGTCCCATAGGGTTATGCACTAAAACGTGAGTTAGTATGGAAATGCACTGTCCGTCCCTTCCTACGTGTCACCCTTTGCTGTACAAGCTGACGGAGGTCAGCGAGTTGTCATTAAAGAGAGTGGCTGAACCTTGGCGTCCCTGGCGTTCCTTGCACGGCCTGGAAACGGCGCTTGTATTATAAAGTTTTTCAGAAACAATTTTAAAGCCACTTTTCGAGCTCACGGCCCGGGCAGGATTGCTCTGCACCGGCCGTGTCCCGTTCCCCACACCGGGCTGGGATCGGGACGGGTCCCGTTCCCTCCCGTTGGTGACCCTTTCGCTCCCAGACTCCGGTGCCGAGCGGCTGATTTCTCCCCTGCACAGAAAATCAATGCCAGGGAGGTACCGATACCCCGAAATTATAAACCAGAGGGAACTGCCCCCAGCACATCCGCAGGAGGTTTCCGGAGCCCCTCCACATCCCGTCCCCGAACAGGGAGAGGGGCAAAGGACCCCACCTGCCCCCAGACTGCCCAGGGGCAGCGAGTGGGACTCGCCACAGCCTGGCTCCTGCCTCTGCTCTCCCTCAGCCGCAGCCTCTCGGCCGCTTTTACAGTAGTCCTATCAAATGTCAATTATTGGGAGTGGGAAACAACAAACATTGTAATTCAGTGCAGTCACAACATCCTCTGAGTGTCTGAGACTGTCCGGCCCGGTGACAAGGCGATTAGGACAACCTGCAACCCCTCCTGCCTTGGCCATATCGGCCCCATCAGTAAACAGGGATGGAGACAGGGTGGCTGTGGCCCTGGGACATGGGATGAAAGGCTGCCGGTGAATGGAAGCTGCCTGAAGCCTCTATCCCTCCCTCCCAGGGGGACCAACCTCACACACACCCCGAGGTAGGATTGCACAGATAAGGAGCTCCCACCTCCTTCCTATCTCTGCAAATGGATGAGGAACCCTGAGTGCTGCTCACAAAGCCCCCAGTGCAGCACGGAGTATAGACACCTGTCTGGGGCTCAGGGCTGGGCAAAGGGGGGCCTTCTGCCTCTTCCCAAGGAGGGTCTGCCTCGGGGGTACTCACCCCAGAGAGACACAGGGACATGGGGTCTGTCACAACAAAGGGGACCAGAGTCTGCCAGCCTGAAGCAGGGACGCAGGGCAGCCCCACAGCTGTGCAATCCAGGAAGAAGCAAAGGCTACTCCTCATTTGAAACCTCTCCAAGCTGGTATCACTGGCTGCATGATGATTTCTGTCATCTTCCCGCATTGGAAGGACACACAGGCTTCAGCAGATGATAGAGAGGTTAGATAGAAAATACATGGAAGGGGGCAGGAGAAAGCTGGGTTTAAACTCTACCACTGTCGAATGATGTGGAGGGAGTGACAGTTTGGTGCCTCAGTTTGGCTGATCTGTAAAATGGGAACAATGCTGCCCTCCCACTCTATGCCCCCCGTGTCACTGACAGTTGAATTCTGCCACTGCAGAGCTTGGCCAGGATTAGACCACACGGGGAACCCTCAGAAGACAGGACAAGTCCTGAGGTAACATGGCAGAAGGCATTAAACTTGAACCACTACATTCAGAAGCTGGACCTGAGTAGGGCTCTTCATTAAGTGTTCAACCAAGAGAGACTGCAATGAAGCTTCAGGAAAAGCCACAGGAAAGAGTAACTCCTCACATCAGCACAGCACCCTTCTCCACATATTCCCAGCATCCTTTCCCTTCCTCAGATCCCTCATTTTCTTCAAGCCTGTTTATTTTGCTCCCATGGTATCTCAGAGCTACAGCTATCAGGGAATCTGAGTGTCCAGTGGGACTTTTCCTGCTCCACAGGGGCTGTTCTGGGCACCAGGTTTGGGACCGATTTTCAGGACTGCCCCGTGCTCCTTCTCAATGCCCACACTACTGCTCACACGCTCCCCCCCATGCTTCCCTACTCCTGGGGGAATTGCATCACGAGCAGATGCACGGCAGGATAAGACATGAGGGCTTGGAACAGCAGCTGGAGCCTTGGAGCCAGTTCAGAAAGCAATTTAGGGAGAGGACACAAGCACAGCTGGCTGAGGCCGAGGCAGCCCGGCTCTGGCAGGGGCACCAGCAGCCACGGTTAAAGACCTTCCATTAGCTGGATTAACGGGAAGTGCAAGAGAGATACAGTAGGAATTAACTCCCAGCACACTGATTTTGGCCAAGGGGGGCTCACTGTCCTCACAGACACACATTGCTACTATTCCTGCTCTCCAGGTCTGCCTCACCTGTAGCTGCAACTCTGCAGCAAGAACAGCCAGCAGGGTCAGGTGGGGGTACAGGGTCCACCAAGGATTTCCAAAGGCACCAGGGCTGTTGGCAAACACCACAGCACAGTGATGTGCTCTCCTCAGTCCAGTCCTCTCAACGGCTTAGAAAAACTGAATGCATCAGACCTCGGTCTGAGCCTGAAGTGATTCACATCTCTAGAGCAACATGAAAAGCCTGTGCTTAGAAAAGGTTATTCCAGAGGAAACTGCAGGATACTGGCGTTTCCCCAGGGAACCTGAAATCAGAGATCTTCTCAGTGTTTGGGGGCATGCTAAGGGGCATAGAAAAGAGCTTTTAATAAAGATTTGCTCTTGGATTTGATCTCTCTCTTTCCTCAGATTTTTTGGGGATTACACAGCCTGGCACTGGCATTCATTTCTCTGTTTTAGCATAGCTTTTTTCAGAGAATTCAGTGCCCCAACTCCACCTGAAGGTAACAGGGCAAGTGCAGCTCAGCCCTACTTGTCTTCTTGAGACAAACTGCATATGGTAGGTTTGTACAAGCTATTTGGACTTTACATGATTTGTACAGGAACAAGTTGTCAGCTGTAAGGGACTGATATCAAATCCCTTGCCATTAGCAGTTTTGTAGGAACTGAAGTAATTGTTTTTCCCAAATAACACCCATGCAGTTCCTAAAGTGCTTTTGGGGCCAGAATTTTATTCCTTAAGTTCAAGGAGTTTTCACATCCAAAGTTATTCTCTAGAGTCAGAAAATGAGGAGACATGGTCCAGGTGGGAATTAGTGAAAAGTTTCAGTGTTCCTGAGATGCCCATCAGGAAAACAACAGATCAACAAGCCCCTCTCCCTAGTCCCCTGCTCCTAATTCATCTCACTGACATCGGTTTAGATCAGTATCAGCAGTAAGTGATTTCTTGTTAATGGGGATTATTAAGAAGAATCAACACCTTTAAAATGCCACTCCACATTCTCTCCAAAGCAAGAGAGGGATAGGCTTTCAGACTGGAGTCCAATTTTTCATTCCTAGGTGGTTCCTTATTACCTGCAAAGCAAACTTAATGCTACATTTTGATGCAGAAAGAGAGGGAAGTGGAGATTTCTCCCAAGCAGAAGATCAAGCACTGGCAGTACATTTGTGAAAGTTCTTCAGTCAAGGTTTATGAAAGTTAATCAATCAAGGTTTAGCAAAGTGACATGGAACATGTTACTTGAAAATCTCTACCTGCCTCCTACAGTCATTTTAAACCCTGCCACTCCAGAGTTTCATTCAATAAGAAAGTCCCACTAAGCAAAAAGATCATCCTGAGCAGTGCATTAGCCACAGGTCTTTCCTATTGTAATACTGCAGGGACTTGCCCCATACTGGTGCTAGAACTGCTGGGCTGAGTAAAAATAGGTGATTTTATCTGTCTTTGCATAAAGTAGTTCAAATCAGATACAAGGCATGTCAGTGGAGTCTGGATGACTAGGCTAAGACAGAAAATAAACTGTTTCCCAGAGACTGAGCAAGAGGAAAAACCAACAGAAGCCCAGGGAGAGAGATGAACCTTCAGAAAAGCAAAGCAGGGCATTTTTAAACCAGCTCTGCGTGCAAGCAGTGGGTGCACTGGCTCCACTGAGACATGTCTGTTAAGTCATCCCTGCTTAAAATAACATTTTTTTGGTGTCAACAATCACAGTGAAATGGCCAAACCACAGGTCTGTAAATCAGGAGACTGGGAGCTTTTCCCAACTCCATTGGAGAGAGGCATCATATTTGCAACAAGCTCAGTCCTGCCCAGCTGTGCAAGTGCAGGGGTTCCCCAACATTACTTTCAGACATCACTCAATACCTGCTCAGTTTGATGTGCTGGAAAAATAAGTTGTCCAAAAGAAAAACCTGTAAGTGGGAAGAATCTTAGGGGCCAAAATAATTTTATTTCTTGGGGTTGGTTAAAATTAATTGGTCTTGGGGAGGCATCCTGGAGCTAAATTACTATTTGTGGAGATGGGTAGGCTGAAGGCGTGAATGACACTACTGTACAGTGCGCAAGGTCAGAAGTTAACAGGCTCAAACAGCAAAAGAAAAGCAAGTTTGTGATTCAAATTCTGTGAATTGTTCTAACTATT